ATATATATACCTGCATGCTTACACTTGCTAGGGTATGATAACTGTTTTGTTTGTTCTTTTTTATATAACTCTGCATGTGAACTGGCCTTGTGGCCTTTGCTTGTGCTCGAAATGTGTGGTGACTTCGTGATCCACCCTGAGCTTGCTTTTCTTTTCTTGACTGGTCTTGTGACCACTTTTTCTCCCCCACTTTGCCTATGGGGGTGTGTTAGAATGTTAAATTAAGGATAATATTTTAATATTCAAAACAAACAAAGCAGAAACAAAAACCTATGCAAGAACTTCTACACCCCACGCCCTTCCTGTGTCATCCCTTACTCAGGCACCTCATCCTCATCCCCAGCAAGATCATTATCAAGCATATCCATGGAGACTTCTGTCCAGTTAAGAAGGTAAAGACAGCCCATGAAGAGGCCACCATCTGGACCACGTAGAGGATGAACACGGTTGATGATCCGCTGAACAACGTGCGTCTGGCGAGAGATGGCATCAAGATTACCCGAGCATTCCAGCCTGGTCTTTACAGATGTCGGATTCTGAAGCTTGTAGCGCACCTGAAAATTGAATGTTTATTAGGGTTAGTGGATTGTTTAACAAAGTGAATATTGCCTTTTTAGAAAGCACTAACAACAGCAAGACTAAGGCACAGATGTTTGCCTTGCAAACTAATAATTGCGTTGTTGGACACTGTTCCAGCCCAGACCTTTGCCACAACAACAAACGCGTCACTGGAAAACGGTACACCATCCTTTTCATGCCAAGGTACTGTTAGAGTAACGAACGAGAATGAATGAACTAGCAAACAGTTGGGTACAAGTACTAACCCTAATTGGGTTGTACCCCTTATGGGCTACCCCACTACAACCTATACAAATGTATAAGCTATAATGTTCTGACACACCCCCATAGGCAAAGTGGTGGAGAACAAGTGGTCACAAGACCAGTGAAGAAAAGCAAAGCAAGCTCAGGGTGGATCACAAAGTCACCACACAGTCCGAGCACAAGCAGAGGGCCACAAGGCTAGTTCACATGCAGAGTTATATAAAAAGAGAACAAACAATACAGTGATCATACCCTAGCAAGTGCAAGCCTGCAGGCATATATAGAGATCACAGTACAAGCAAAGTCAAGCAGTAAGCAAGTGAGGCAAAGTGGGCACAAGGCCTAACACAGTAGCAAAGCGCTGATGATCACCAGGCGGAAGTGCCTTGGTGAAGACATAAGCAGTGTTGGCCCGAGTGGCCACGTACGCAAGACGAAGCTGGCCACGCTGCTGCAACTCTCGAGCAAGGAAGTATCGCAGAGCGATGTGCTTCGTTCTGTGCTCCAGTCTGTGCTCCTGACACAAGGCAATCATGGCCTTGTTGTCTACGTACAGGACTGGAGGCGAACGAGGCTGCTCTCCCAAGTCGGTCAGCAAGTAGGTGAGCCAGCGTAGCTCCTGAGCAGCCATGGCCCCGGCGTAGATCTCAGCCTCACAACTGGAGCTGAGAACCGAAGACGAGCGGGTAGACCGCCAAGAAACAGAGCTGAACCCAAGGCTGAAGGTGTAACCCTGTGACGACCGCTGCGTAGCTGAGTCGTCAACCCAGGAGGCGTCTGCATGACCAGTGAGGACAACTGGACCCCGTCCTCCAAGCACAAGCTCCATGCCCGACGTACTGCACAGGTAACGCAGTACCCTCTTCGCAGCATCCCAGTGCACCTTTCGGTGCCTACCGGGAGCCACGTAGCGAGCCAGAAGGCTGAGAGGGTACGCGAGGTCAGGTCGTCTGCAAGTCATCAGGTACATGAGGCAACCCACAAGCTCTGGGTACGGACCACTCGGCTCTACGGACTCGTCCGAAGGTGGAGCTGAGAGCTAGTGGCTGGTAGACAGAGGAGTGAGCTGTGGCGAGGAGTACTGGAAGCCGAAGCGCTGAAGGACTTGGTGCACCATGTGTGACTGAGTCAGTGTGATGGTGCACCGTGCTCTGTCCCGGGTGATCTGCAGGCCAAGATAGCTGCGCATTTCACCCAGGTCAGCGCAGGCGTGTCTCTTCTGCAGCTCGGACTTCACAAGGGTCAGTGCCTCAGTGTCAGCAGTGGCAAAGACGAGGTCGTCAACGTACACAAGGACGTAGAACGGCGGCAGCGAGGTGTCGGTGCGTAGAAACAGCGACGGGTCTGCTGTAGAAGGAGCAAACCCAAGAGCCGCAAGTGTAGTCCTCAATGTGTCGTGCCACTTGCAAGGCGCCTGGCGGAGACCGTAGACTGGCCGGCGGAGGCTCCACTGAGTACCTGCAGGAACGTTCCAGTGAAACCAGGTGGTCGGCGCAGCCAGATCTCCTCGTGCAGGCTGCCCTGCAGGAAGGTTGTACTGAAGTCCAGGGAGTGTAACTCGTAGTCACACTGAGCAGCGACGTGCAGCAACACCCGAAGAGTAGTCATCTTCGGGGTGGGGAAGAAGGTTTGGAAGTAGTCAACTCCCTGTCGCTGGGTGAAGCCTCGAGCAACGTAACGCGCCTTGAAGGCAGGCGGACAACCCGGCGACCGCTTCACCCTGAAAATCCACATGCCTTCGACTATGTTCGCCCTACACGGGGAAACTGCGTCGACATAGGTGCCTGTGGACTTCCAGGATGCCATCTCGGCATCCATAGCTGCCTGCCACTGAGAGGAGTAAGGTCCCGTAATCGCCTCTGCGTAAGAGTGCGGGGTCGGGATGTCCGGAGCATCCGCGTCTCCCTCAGGGGCAAGCAGCAAGGAAGCGAAACGAGGTACAGCAGCTGCAAGACACTCAAAGTCCTCCTGCCTGTCCTCAAGGACGTCCGTGCCAAGAGCACACTCACCCCCGACGGACGGAGGAGTGGCAGACTCAGACTCAGCAATAAGAGCAGAGGCGTAGTCGAGACGGCAGGCAGCAGCAAAGTCAAGCAGCTCAGCAACGAGAGCAGACGCAGCAGCAGACTCAAAGGAAGGGTCAGTGACAGCAGTGGCAAAGAGACGAGCGACAGTGGGACTGGCAGTACGCGCTCGGTCAGACAGAGGGTCAGGGACCTCAGGAAGAGAGGGCTCAGGAGGAAAAGGGAGAGGAACACGCAGTGGAACAGAGGAAGGACGGAGTGCCATAGTGTGCGTGCCGGGGTCAGGAGGAGGACGCGAACGAGGAGTGCGACGAGCAGTGCGAACAGGCGAGACAGGACGAGATGCAGGCTCACGACGCTCTGTAAGACCTCCGGACTGCTCAGTGTAAGGAGAGGGAGCAGGCAGCGGGGAGGCTGGCCATCGCATCTGGGGGTGCTGCGTCTGGGGGTGCTGCGTCTGGGGGTGCTGCATCTGGGGGTGCTGCGTCTGGGGGTGCTGCGTCTGGGGGTGCTGCGTCTGGGGGTGCGGAGCCGGGGGGTGCGGGGTTTGAGGGTGCTGGGTCTGGGGGTCAGCGTGTGTCGATATGCACGTGAACACGGACGGGCTGTCACCTGGCCACGTTCACCTGTCGGCCTGGGTCGAGTCTGTACACATTGACTACTGAGCCTCCTCAGGTAGCTACGCCTGCTCAGGTGTCCGCGTCAGGTCTGGTAGCAGCCCCCTGCTCGTGTCGCCTAATGTCGCACCAGACTCTCCCATGGCACCACCGTCTTGGTCACCCCTCCCTGCCACGCCTTCGTGGCATGCACTCCCGCCTCCTTGTTTTTGGTCTTCTCAGGTCTCTGCCTCCCCTCCCGCCCTTGCCTGCCCCGCCCTGCCTTCCTTGCGCTGAGGGGCGGCAGCGCGCCGCTCCTCACTCCTCGTTTCCCCCGACGAGTGCTCCCCTGCAGACTCTCCGCATGGACGTGTGGGGCCCAGCCCGCATCAGTGGACAAGACCGCGAGCGCTACTTTCTGCTGGTTGTTGACGACTACACGCGTTACACCACGGTCTTCCCCTTGCGCAGCAAGGGTGAGGTCCCTGATGTCTTGATCCCCTGGATCCGCACAGTCCGTCTCCAGCTCCGTGAGCGGTTCCACCAGGACCTCCCTGTCATGCGTCTGCACTCTGACAGAGGTGGTGAGTTCTCCTCCAACCTCTTGCGGGACTTTTGTCGTGGGGAGGGCATTCTTCAGTCGTTCACGCTTCCGGCCTCCCCACAGCAAAATGGGGTTGCTGAGCACCGCATTGGCATTGTCATGGAGGTGGCTCGTACCTCCATGATCCATGCGGCTGCTCCCCATTTTCTGTGGCCATTTGCGGTCCGGTACACTGCGCATCAGCTCAACCTCTGGCCCCGTGTCTCCTTGCCAGAGATCTCGCCTACACTGCATTGGACGGGGAAGGTTGCGGTGCGTCGGTGTTCCGGCTCTTGGGCTCTCGTGCCTTCGTCCGCGATACTTCCGCGGACAAGCTCTCCGCCCGCGCTATTCCCTTCGTCTTCCTTGGCTTTCCCCCTGATGCGCCTAACTGGCAGTTTTACCACCCCACCTCGCGCCGTGTCCTCCCCTCTCAGGACGTCAGGTCTGATGAGTCGGTTCCCTTTTACCGTCTTTTCCCCTACCGCTCTGCCCGTCCCCCCCCCCCCCCCCGCCACTCTTCCTCGCTCCAGGTCCCCCTCCGGTAGACCCTTTTAGAATCCTAGCGTGACTTGGGAGCCATGGCTAGTGAGTGTCGAGGGAGTTGAGTGTCGAGAGGAATTGGAAAGGAGAATGTCGAGAGGAATGATGGGTTTCACTATAGCACACAAGGTACATATAGCAAAATGAACAAAGGTGCACCACCAAACAATAGGAGCTACACTACAGTAAATCCTACAGCAGTTATATAACAGAACATATAATTATATTTTGTGACACACCCCCATAACTGCCTGCAGGAGAAAACCTGTGTAGAACACCCCTTGAAGGGGTACACCCGGTGCAGTGGAAGACGGCAGAGAGGTAAGTGTGGAGGATGCGAGCGAGAGAGAGAGAGGAGGGGAGAGGAGATAAGAACGAAGGAGGAGGTGAGTGAGAGAGATGAGGAGAGGAGGTGGGGGAGCGTGCATGAGCATGACAGCTCACTGCCGGCCATCCCTCTTACTAACCCCCTTTACAAAGGGGGGAGGTGAGTGAGGGATGAGGAGAGGAGGTGGGGGAGCGTGCATGAGCGTGACAGCTCACTGCCGGCCGGCCCTCTTAACAACCCCCAAGTCCTCACCCTCAATTCAACCACCCCCTTAATCTCACCCCCGTTATCAGCTGCCCCCTTGTATCTCACCCCCCTTCCCCCTTTCCTTCCTCCAGCCCCTGCCCCACCCACAATAGTCCCTGCACTGATCTTCACACGGCGGCCTGCCCCCTCTCCCCCACCCCCCATCCCCGCCACCTCCCCCCCACAGCAGCAGCCGCGGGAGAGGAGAGGCAGGGCAGAGGGTGGGGCTGTAGTGGTTCACAGCGGCCACCCCTTCCACGCCACCTCCCCCCCCAAGGATGGAGGAGAAAGGGGGGGCGGGGGTGGCTGGTGCTGCAGATCGCCTCCCCCCCACTGCTGCACCCGCAGCAGGGGGGAGGTAGGAGAAGGGGCGGTGCAGGAGCCGCTTGGGCGACAGCAGGTTGGCCACACCCGCCACACCCATACCCTCCCCCCCACTGCTGCACCCGCAGCAGAGAGATCGAGGAGAAGGGGGGGGGCGGGGGGGGGCTGGTGCTGCAGGTCCCCTCCCCCCACTGCCGCATCCGCAGCAGGGGGATGGCAGATCGCTTCCCCCCCACTGCTGCACCCGCAACAGGGGGAGGTAGGAGAAGGATGAGAGGGGGGGGGGGGGGGGTCGGTGCTGCAGATCCCCTCCCCACTCCTGCTGCACCCGCAGCAGGGGGAGGTAGGAGAAGGGTGGGGGGCCTGGTGCTGCAGATCCCCTCCTGCCTCCCCCTGAACCTCCAAGCTCCCCCCCCTCTCCCAACACAAGGTGCGGCAGGGAGAGAGAGAGGAGGAGGCGTGGCGGCAGCTGCTGCTGCTGAGGCACATCCGCCACCCCCTCACACCCTCTCCCCGCCATCCCCATGGAGGGGGGGGAGGGGGGCGGGGGCGGAGCTGCGCGTGCGACTGTAGGGCACGCGGGCAGGAGGAACCCCCTCTTGCCACCCCATCACCCACCATGTTGCAACAGGGCACCGGGGCCGCGGTTAGGGGCGGCAGGTCGCGAGGAGCCATGGCTAGGGGCGACGGGGCCATGGCTAGGGACGGGGCCAGGTGCTGGCCTAGGGGCGGGGCCGGGTGCTGGGCAGGAACGGGGCCGGGCGTTGGGCAGGTATGGGGCCGGGCGCTGGCCGTTACAGGACCGGGCGCTGGGCAGGTACGGGGCCGGGCGCTGGGCAGGTTCGGAGCCGGGCGCTGGACAGGTACGGGGCCGGGCGCTGGGCAGGTACGGGGCCGGGTGCTGGGCTAGGGACGCGGCCGGGTGCTGGGCAGGAACGGGGCCGGGCGCTGGGCAGGTACAGGGCCAGGCGCTGGGCAGGTACGGGGCCGGGCGCTGGGCAGGTACGGGGCCGGGCGCTGGCAGGTACAGGGCCGGGCGCTGGGCAGGTACGGGGCCGGGCGCTGGGCAGGTTCGGAGCCGGGCGCTGGGCAGGTACGGGGCCGGGCGCTGGGCAGGTACGGGGCCGGGCGCTGGGCAGGTTCGGGGCCGGGCGCTGGGCAGGTACGGGGCCGGGCGCTGGGCAGGTACGGGGCCGGGCGCTGGGCAGGTATGGGGCCGCGCGCTGGGCAGGTACGGGGCCGGGCGCGGGCTAGGTACTGGGCCGGGCGCGGGCTAGGTACGGGCCGGTCGCGGGCGAGGTACGGGCCTGTCGCGGGCTAGGTACGGGCCGTGCGCGGGGCTAGGAACGGGCCGATCGCGGGCTAGGTACAGGCCGGGCGCGGGCGCGAGACGGGGCCGGGCGCGGGCTAGGTACGGGCCGGGCGCTGGCGAGGGACTGGGCCGTTCGCGGGTCTAGGTACGGGCCGGGCGCAGGTGTAAGATGTGGCCGGGCGCGGGCTAGGTACGGGCCTGTCGCGGGCTAGGTACGGGCCGAGTGCGAGGCTAGGAACGGGCCGATCGCGGGCTAGGTACGGGCCGGGCGCGGGCGCGAGACGGGGCCGGGCGCGGGCTAGGTACGGGCCGGGCGCTGGCGAGGGACTGGGCCGTTCGCGGGGCTAGGTACGGGCCGGGCGCAGGCGTAAGATGTGGCTGGGCGCGGGCTAGGTACGGGCCTGTCGCAGGCTAGGTACGGGCCGGGCGCGGGGCTAGGAACGGGCCGATTGCGGGCTAGGTACGGGCCGGGCGCGGGCGCGAGACGGGGCCGGGTGCGGGCTAGGTACGGGCTGGGCGCGGGCGACGGAATCGACGGGGCTTGCGGGGCCGAGGGGCTGAGCTAGGGGCAACGGGGCCAAGGGGCCGAGCCTAGGAGCGACGCCAAGGGGCGACGGGCCGGGGCCTAGGCTAGCAGGGCATTAGGTGGTGGGCCCATTAATGTGAGGTCCTAGGAACGACCTACTCTGATAGCATGTTAGAATCCTAGCGTGACTTGGGAGCCATGGCTAGTGAGTGTCGAGGAGTTGAGTGTCGAGAGGAATTGGAAAGGAGGATGTCGAGAGGAATGATGGGTTTCACTATAGCACACAAGGTACATATAGCAAAATGAACAAAGGTGCACCACCAAACAATAGGAGCTACACTACAGTAAATTCTACCGGCAGTTATATAACAGAACATATAATTATATTTTCTGACAGACCCCCTCCCTCCTCAGGATCCTGCTCCCTCAGGTGTGTCTCAGGTAGACCCACTCCCCCTGGCTGAGCCTGTCAAGGTCGCTGTAGACTCAGGTGCTGCTAGAGGTGCTGCGTCTGGGGGTACTGCGTCTAGGGGTGCTGAGCCTACGAGTGCGGAGCCTGGGGGTGCTGAGCCTGAGGGTGCGGAGCCTGGGGGTGCTGAGTCTGAGGGTGCAGAGTCTGGGGGTGCTAAGCCTGAGGGTGCGGAGCCTGCGGGTACTGAGCCTGAGGGTGTGGAGCCTGGGGGTGCTGAGTCTGAGGGTGCGGAGTTTGGGGGTGCTGAGCCTAGGGGTACTGTGTCTGCGGAAGGTCCTTCGGGTGCCTCGCCACGTCTGTCTCACCGGCGGAAGCCTCTCTCAACGCAGCAGTTGCGCGAGTGGTTTTCTCAGCGCACACGCATTACGGGTGGTGCTGCAGGAACTGGAGGCTCTGCCGCTGGAGGCACTCGAGCTGGAGGTGCTGGAGCTACTAGTCCTGGAGGTGCTGGAGTTACTCCTGGAGCTGGAGGTACCGGAGGTGCAGGAGCTGCTGGTCCTGGAGGTGCTCGTACTAATTGTACTGGAGCTGCCAAAGCTGGTGGTGTTGGAGGCGCTGGAGCTGGAGACCCTGGCGCTGGAGGCACTAGAGCTGGAGACCCTGGATTTGGAGGCACTAGCGCTGGAGGCACTGGAGCTGGAGGTGCTGGAGCTTCTAGTCCTGGAGGTGCTGGAGTTACTGCTGGAGCTGGAGGTCTCGGAGGTGCTGGAGCTGCTGGTCCTAGAGGTGCTCGTACTCGAGGTACTGGAGCTGCCGGAGCTGGTGGTGTTGGAGGCACTAAAGTTGGAGACCCTGGAGCTGGAGGCACTGGCGTTGGAGGCGCTGGAGCTGGAGGCAGTGGAGCTGGAGGCGCTGGAGCTGGAGGCACTGGCACTGGAGGCGCTGGAGCTGGAGGCACTAGAGCTGGAGACCCTAGAGCTGGAGGTGATGGCGCTGGGGGTGCTGGAGCTGGCATTCCGGGTGCTGGAGGTACTGTGCAGCGGCGCCCGTTTCTCGTTCCGCCGCCACCGTTGTCTCTGCCGCCACCTGACTCGGTCCTTCGCCAGGTTCTTAGTCTCCTGTCTTCTTATGGCCTTACTCCTAGCTTGCTATGTCCACCGCCTCACCAGTCGCAGCCACAGTTACAGCCAGACTCCCCACTGCCTGCTCCTTCTCCTTACGCTGAGCAGACAGACTCTCAGACAGAGCACGTGAGCCTGAGTCTCGTCCTGCCTCACCTGTTCGCGCTGTTCGCACTGGTCGTCAAGTTCCTCATCTGCGTCCTCCTCCTGTCCCTGGCACTCACATTATGGCACTTCGTCCTTCCTCTGTTCCACTGCGAGTTCCCCTGCCGTCTCCTCCTGTGTCCTCTCTTCCTGACGGTCCGGACCCTGAGTCTGACTTAGCTCGTGATGCCAGTCCTACTGTCCCACGTCTTCTAGCCACTGTTGTCATTGACCCTTTTTTTGAGTCCACTGCTGCGTCTGCCCTAGTTGCTGAGCTTGTTGACTTTGCTTCCGCCTGTCATCTTGTCTGAGTCAGACTGTCCTCCGTCCGTCGGGGGTGAGTGTGCTCTTGGCACGGATGTCCTTGAGGACATGCAAGAGGACTTTGAGTGTCTTGCAGCGGCTGTACCTCATCTCGTGGCCATGCTTCTTGCACCTAAGGGAGACCCGGATGCACCAGACATCCCGACCCCGCGCTCTTATGCAGAGGCGATTACGTGTCCCTACTCCTCTCAGTGGCAGACATCCATGGACGCAGAGATGGCATCCTGGAAGTCCACAGGCACCTACGTCGACGCAGTTCCCCCTTCTCGGGCGAACATAGTCGATGGCATGTGGATTTTCAGGGTGAAGCGGCCGCCGGGTTCTCCGCCTGCCTTCAAGGCTCGTTACGTTGCACGAGGCTTCAGTCAGCGACAGGGAGTTGACTTCTTCCAGACCTTCTCCCCTACCCCGAAGATGACCACTCTTTTGATGCTGCTGCACGTCGTCGCTCTATGTGACTACGAGCTTCACTCTCTTGACTTCAGCACAGCTTTCTTACAGGGCAGCCTGCACGAGGAGATCTGGCTGCGCCGCCCACCTGGCTTCACAGGGTCGTTTCTTGCAGGTACCCAGTGGAGACTCCGGGGGCCAGTCTACAGTCTCCGCAAGGCGCCTCCTGAGTGGCACAACACAGTGAGGACGACACTTGCGGCTCTTGGGTTTGCTCCTTCAACTGCTGACCCGTTGCTGTTTCTGCGCACCGACACTTCGCTGCCGCCGTTCTACATCCTCGTGTACGTCGACGACTTGGTCTTTGCCACTGCTGACACTGAGGCACTGGCCCTTGTGAAATCGGAGCTGCAGAAGAGACACACCTGCACTGACCTGGGTGAGCTGCGCAGCTATCTTGGCTTGCAGATAACCTAGGACAGATCACGGCGCACCATCACCCTGAATCAGTCACACATGGTGCACCAGGTCCTTTAGCGCTTTGGCTTCCGGTACTCCTCGCCACAGTCCACTCCTCTACCTACCGGTCACTCGCTCTCAGCTCCACCTTCGGACAAGTCCGTAGAGCCGAGTGGCCCATATCCAGAGCTTGTGGGCTGCCTCATGTACCTAATGACCTGCACTCGACTTGGCCTTGCCTACCCTCTTAGCATCCAGGCACGCTACGTTGCGCCCGGGAGAGCACTGGGTTGCCGCTAAGAGAGTGTTGCGCTACTTGTGCATTATATCGGGCATGGGGCTCGTGCTTTGAGGACGGGGTTCAGTTGGCCTCACTGGACACGCAGACGCTTCTTGGGTTGACGACTTGGCTACGCAGGGGTCGTCACAGGGTTACACTTTCAGCCTTGGCTCCGGCTCTATTTCTTGGCGGTCTACCCGCTCGTCTTCGGTTCTCTGTTCCAGTTGTGAGGCTGAGATCTACGCAGGGGCCATGGCTGCACAGGAGTTACACTGGCTCACCTACCTCCTGACCGACTTGGTAGAGCGGCCTCGTTCTTCTCGAGTTCTGTACGTAGACAACAAGGCCATGATTGCCTTGTGTCAGGAGCACAGACTGGAGCACAGAACGAAGCACATCACTCTGTGTTACTTCCTTGCTCGAGAATTGCAGCAGCGTGGTCAGCTTCGTCTTGCTTACGTGGCCACTCGCGCCAACACTGCTGATATATTCACCAAGGCACTTTAGTCTAGTGATCATCAGCGTTTCAGTACTGTTTTAGGCCTTGTGCCTACTTTGCTTCACTTCCTCACTGCGTGACTTTGCTTGTACTGTGATCTATATATATACCTGCATGCTTACACTTGCTAGGGTATGATCACTGTACTGTTTGTTCTCTTTTATATAACTCTGCATTTGTATTGGCCTTGTGTGTCAAAACATTTTATATGTTTTCTAGCTTTGTAGGCTGTGTAGGGGTTATCTGTAGAGGTTACAACCATTCTCTCGACAACCTTGTACCCCCCCCCCAACCTAATCGACCATCATTCTCCTCACATGCTTCTAACATGGTATCAGAGCTAGTAGGTCCTTAGGACCAGAAATTCAATTGGGCCCACCGTTTGTTCCCGCCCGATCCGCGCCCCTAGGCGCGTCAATTTTCACAGCCTAGCCCCGCTGCCCCACTGCCCTGCCTGAGCGCCGCCCTACCTATGCGCGCTCTGCCTGCAGCTGCACCGCCCTGCCTGCCTGCGCACTTTGCATGCGCACCCTGCCTGCCCACTCGCCCGCTGCCCGCACACGCTTTGCCGGCCCCGCCAGTGAGTTCTGCCCCGCAAACGCGCTGTCCGCCAGCAGCCTGCGCCCGGCCTGCCTTCCTTGCATTGAGGGGCGGCAGCGCGCCGCTCCTCACTCCTCCGAGTTTCCTCTGACCACTGCTCCTCTGCACACTCTCCACATAGACGTTTGGAGCTCTGCCCCCGTCGCTGGAACAGACCAGGAGCGCTACTTCCTGCTGGTTGTTGTCGACTACACACGCTACACCACTGTC